ACCACCCGCCACCCGGAGCTCCAGAGGACGCCAGGCCACGGCGCACGGGGCGCAAAGGAGCCTCCTCGGGCCCTCTGGGATAGGTTTTTAAGTCGGGTGCCATTTTTGTTAGCCCTCCTGGAAGGTCAGGGCACCTCACCCCCGGGGCCGCCCCAGCGCACCACCCGCCCCCGGCGCCCCAGAGGACACCGGGCCGCGGCGCACGGGGCGCGAAGGCGCCTCCTCGGGCCCTCCTCGCGCGCTGCGCGGCCTCGCGCCCTGCCGGGGGCGGCAGCGCGAGGGCGCAGACCGGGCCGCCTGCCCTGCGGTCCGGCGCGTCGCGGTGAGAGGCGCCAGCTTTGAGTCGGGCGTGTCCCTCTGCAGGGGGATCATTCAAAATTAGTATTATATATACACACACATTCCTTCTTTAAATAATATATAAAAGAGAAAGAAATAAAAGAAGAGAACACAAAAAAAAAAAAAAAAAAAAAAAACTCTGGGGACGATTTGTTGACCATTTTTGAGCATTTGGGGGGGTATTTTCTGAGTACCTTTTTATTTCTCGCCCAAAAGACCCCTGTAGGGGCCGCGACCCCGATTCGATTCGCTGCGGTCCGTCTCGCCAGCGCATCGGCCGGTGCAGAGCCTGGCGCGGCGCTCCGATGTCGATCTCCGATGCGGGGCGCTTCGCCCGCGATCTGGCCCGGTGCCGATCCGCTTCGGTCCCTCGGTTCGATGCGGCTCATGTCTGGCAGAGGTGCGCCGGCGTCGCTCGGCGTGAGCCCTCTGCACCTCTGGCGTGGGCCCCCGGGGGCTCGTCGTCCGCGGACGGCAACGACAGCGACGTTGGCGATGTGGACGACCACGAGGTTGTTGTCGATGGTGACAATATGGACCCCTCCCTGGGACCAGCTTTTCATGCGGAGTCGTTTCTCGATGGCCCCGTGGCGGGGAAACGGCTTCCGGAGACCAGAAACGCAGAAGAAACAGCCGTCGCGATTTGTTAATGCTTGACTGCCCCCAGATTTGAGGGAAGCGCAAAGACGGGTGATCCAGGATGACCTAGGCCTCCCAAATGCGGCTGAAGAATGTGGGGTCGGAGGATCGCGCCGCACCGCCGATGTATCGGCGATGCGGCGCAATCAGGCACCCGAGTTTCTCGATCCCGACGTCGCCGATGCATCGCCAAATGCAGCGAGATCCTCCGACCCCATCTAGTCTTCGGGGCGTCCAAGAGAGGGCCAGGACCAGAGTGGGGGCCGGGGCCACGAAATCTCTCTGACTGCACGGCCCCTTGCCTTCGCTCAACACGTCCCTTGGCCCCCCCCTCGCCCGCGCACGTGCACCAGGCCATGATGCACCGCCCCTCGCCTCTTCTTGGCCCCCCGCTGCGGCGCACCCGAGAAGCTGGTCCAGATTTGCCCCGTGTCCTGCTCGTCGGCGGTGGCTCGCGAGCACGCCGCGGCCCCTGATGCGCGACCGCGCCAGCCTTCCGCCGGTGCCGTGCCGAGCCCGGGGATTGCGCAGAGCATCGGAGGTTGCCGCAAGGTCAGGAGCGAAAGAAGGACGTACATGTACATGAATCCACGCTGTTTTCGAGAGCACGCATTTCACAAATGTTCGTATAACGCGGCCCGTCTCGCGAATCGAGGGGCCGTGTTCATGTACATAGCTGGGCGCGTACGTCCTTTGTGGGCTCCCTAGCAAGGGTTCGTTTCACATTGTCGGTTTG